ATACATATATACATATATACATATATATATACACACACACACTGGGTGAATGTGCAGTAGTAGCAGCAAGCAGGTGAATTCTGTACATTAATATGAATAGATATCTAGTTACAGTTCGGTGAGGTGGCCTGGTCCTCACAATCATCAGCAGCTTTTAAATATAAATCTGTGAAATGATGCTGTTAGTTCTTAATTCATCCTAACTTTTCTTATTGACGGGTTAAAAAATAGAGTCAGTTTAAATCTGCTCAAACCTCCCAGTGTGTCCATGGAAAACTCCCAGAGGACGAAGCCGGCGCTCCTGTGGAGCCGACTGAATTGTGATGAAGCTTGTTTTTGATTTTTGGGCTCAGACTGATGAACGTTTGTTCCTTCTCTCCCTCCATCCTCCTTTCATTTTTCCAGACCTCCCTTCGCTCGCTCACCCATCTACCACAGCCCATCCTGGCACACCGGTCGACCTGCCCTCTCTCCCACCCTCCACCCCTCCCACCCTCTTACCCACCCTCATCAGCACCACTCCCAGCAGCTCAGTGCCAGTGCTCAACCCCAGCAGCCTGCTGTGCAGGCCCCTTCTGAGCATTATGGGTAGGTTTGTTAGCAGACAGCTGTGATGGTCTGCTATAGCTCACAGAGGGTTAATGACACGTTTTACTAACTACTTCTTCTGTGGTTCTGCTGGCTGCTGCTGTTGCTGTTTTATACCCACAGCTGAAGCTAACAGTCACAACATGTTTCAACTTTGATTCAAGCTCTCTTAAAAACATCGTGTTCTTCTTCTACAATGCTTAAATGGTACCAGCGCCACCTGCTATTTATCCCACCAAGAAAATTTCTAATATAACAGCAGCAGTTTTAAACTGGACACTGGATTAATATTTGTTCTGGATGGAAACCTGCTTGGGTCAGTGCTCTGACCTGCTAAGCCCTCAGCTCTGCTTCTTTGGCTCCTCTAACAACACAGTTCCAGCCTGTTCCACGCATTTGTAATGGTCATTTATCCTTTTTCCTCTCCAGGCAGGGCAGCTACCCGGGCATGACACCGCTGGGTGCAATGGGCCCTGGAGGTCCAGGAGGCCACGCAGGTCCTGGAGGTCCTTACAGTCAACAGCCAGGGAGTAACTCTGGGAGGATGACGCCACAGGGACCCCCCTACAGTGCCCCACCATCAGGTAGGAACGCAGACCTGAGCACCTGTCAGAGACTGGTTGGACGTTGCGGAGGTTATGAATTCTGATGTCTTGGTCTTTCAGGCCCCGTGATGATGCCAGCTGAAGGGATGGGTCCTCACGCAGATGCCAAGCAAAGGGTGGAGCTTAGCAAAGAGGGTGTTGGTCCTGTAGGAGAGCCCAAACCCAAGGTTTCTCTCTTTGGATTTTTTCCCCCAACAATATCTTTATTATTTTTTACATTTTAATGACTTACAAACAGTTAGACAGCAAAAAGAAAACAAAAAAGTCATCAGATTTGTCACTCCATTAAAGGCCTAAATTTATCATTATCCCAAATCAAATGTCATTGCCCTCAGTCCACGTCCTCAGATAATACAAATCCTTCTACAAAATTCACAAATGGTCTCCACACCTTCTCAAAACCATCCAATTTCCTTTTCAGTATACATGTTATCCGCTCCAATGGCAAAGCCACCATCATTTGTTTTATCCACTGTGTGATACTCGGTTTCCTTGTTCTTTTCCCATTTTAGTGCGATTAATCTTTTTGCTTGTAACAAACACCTCTTTGGCTTTGGCCAATTACAGCAGCTGTTTGGTCATGGTTCTGGCTTTCAATTCAATTCAATGTCTTTATTGTCCCACAAGGGGAAATTAGTTTAGTTTAGCAGCAGGAGGATAAAAATAAACAGAACAATACTATAAAATAATAATAACAATAATAATGACAGAAAGTTCAAGGACAATTATTTGCCATTAAGGAGACAAGACGCAGTAGGGATAAAAAAGAGCTGAATTCTCTGAGCACGCTCAGACAGATGCACGAGCACCCAGTCTAACGTGAGAGCAGCTTAGCCTCTTCGTAACTGAAGTTCTTCTGATTTTACCACAGTTTAAGTCGGAAGTTTATTTGATGATGTCATTAAATTGCACCTGCCGAAGGTCCGATGCTAGCAAGTTAACTACTGTTTTTTACACTGATGCGATGAAAATGGAAATAATCCGCAGAGAATTTGTAAAAAGTGATAAGCCCGTCTGAGCGTGTCGGGGACGGCAGGTCTGTGGGCGGTTCCTGTAGGAAGTGATCCAATGAACTGCTGAACCATCAGTGCCTTAAGCCCCACCCAGTGCTGATGGTTGGCTCCTTGTGGACTCTAACATACTTACCAACCTGTCACCTGACAGTCAGCGGTATCCTTTAAAGAGTTTACCTTGAGAATGGTTATTTCACTGCATCTCTGAGGCTCTCTGTCGGTCTGTATGTGTGGACGGCCTTTAAGGCTTACTGCCGTGAAGGTGAAGGCTGTGTGGCAGCAGATGCTGAGCTGACGCTAACGTGCAAACGGGATCTATTTGTGTTTGTGAGAATGAAGCTGGGGGTAGGAGAGCGATTCCCCCAAGTTTCACCCTTCCTCTCGGGCAGTTCTCTTCATCATGGCTGACAGCACTGATCAGTTTACTCCTAGCAGCATGCCACTCATTACACCTGAACCCGTCTTTGCTTCATCAGCTGGTTTGGAAGAGTAACAGAAACCCAAAATAACCAACACGAGGCGGAGAGCGGCGCTCTCTTTTCTCTTGTCTGTTTCTTCTTGTTTTCCTCACTCGGCTTAGCAGCTGCAGAGTTTCTCCTCCTCCTCACTGCTCTCTCTGACTCTCTTCACCTCGTTATCTAACAGCGAAGTGTCGGCATTGATCACATCCGCTGCCGAGCTGTTTGTGGCAGTCGGGGTTACGCGAGGCGGTTCAGGTGATGAGCGGAGGCTGCTTTGTTTGCAGGAGAGTCTCAGCTTGGCTTCCTCATTAGACGCCGCTGCTGCTAATTTTTCCCAGTTTGCGTTTCATGCGGAAGCGGTTTGACACTCCACAAGTTAGGTGATGTTTTTTATGTCAACTGTCAGAGAAACTTCAAAATAGATGTGAGAAAACGAGGAAAGTGAAGCGAGTCGTCTGTTCTTGTTCCCTCGATAACGAGAGGAAACCCGATCGGCGTAAACCGTCACCACCTACAGGAGACGGCTTCATCAGCGTGAGCATTTATTGAATCTGTGTTGAGTGACATTTTATACAGGACGGGTTTTATGCTTGATGAGCACTGACAGGTGGAGAGAGCTGCTAAAAGTCACGTTTCACTGAAATGAGAACATACAGGATGATGGCAAGAGACGCCGGAACAACTCTGCTTACAAACGTGCTGCTTTTTTTGTGCGTTTCCCTGATTTGTCCTCGAGGGCCACCGTACCAGGCTATGTGGTTAGTTTAACAAAGGCTTCATCCAGAGCAGCACACACCAAAAACCAAGGAGAACCAACCACACAAGTGTGTGTCTCCACTCCTTTCCTGTCGTCTCTAACAAACACACACACACACACACACAGAGGAAAACACACACACACACACACACACACACACACACACACACACACACACACTCTTCAGTGTTTGCTGTAATTAACCAGAGAGCAGCGGCTGGTTCTCTGCAGTTAACCAGCTGTTGGCAGACATGTTGTTTCTGCTGTCAGCTAACTGCAGGTGCTCCAGCCTAGACTGCTGCCGGCTGTGAGAATGAAAACCTGAGGAAGAAACAACTCCTTCTGATATGTGTGTGTGTGTGTTTGTGTTGTATCACAGGACTACAGCTCACAGTGTGTGTCCCAGCCCCCCACCCCCTGCCCCATGTCCCCCAGCTCGGCCAGCCTGTCGTCCTGTCACGGCGAGGACAGCGATGGCATCAGCAGCCCCGCCTGGCTCAGGACGCCGAGCAGCCCGGTAAGCGGCGCAATGCACAAACACAACAACAGTTTGCACTAATTACATCGACACTTCCTGCTGCTCGTGGATGAAAAACCTCTGACTCCGGATCCCGTCACTTGCAGACGGTTTTTTTCAGACACAAACTGCGTGAGATGAATCCGCGTGGTTCAGATGTTATTTTGTGTCCATTTCTTTATCATTCATTGAGTTCATTTGCTTAATTTCATGAAATGTAGCATGTGAGCAGCAAAAGAAACAGACCTGAGGGGTGGGGCAGTTGGTAGTTATATTAAAAGTCACAGAAGATCGTTCTGTGGTTAACGTTCACTTCTGAACGGGCTGCAGGTGATGTCACAGTCATGCAGGCGTCCACCTCATCTGGACTTCCTGTTTTTTGATCTGTTTCTGGAGATCTGAGATTTTCGTAGGATGAAGCAGCAAAAAGCTGAGGGTTGAGGTGCTTCTCCCTCCACGCCAGCGACTGCTGCCATGTTGACCTCTTGAACTCTGATTCGGAGTTTCTGGTGGATGTTTATTAGTAACGTGGACAAATCTGTCTGAGTGGTTTTAAAGTGCCGCTCATGACTGACGTGCTGGAAACTGTCACCTGTAGACAGGTGTGGGTGTGTCGGTCTTATTTAGAGGTTCCTTTGCAGCTCTGACATGTTGGCTCCGCCTCTGTGATATGGAAAGCTGAAGGTGCTGTCTGTGTCTCTGCAGAAGCCCAGCGTGGCCACCATGACCAACGAGAAGATCACCCGGCTGTACGAGATGGGCTCTGAGCCAGAGAGAAAGCTGTGGGTGGACCGATACCTGTCTTTCATGGACGAGAGGGGCACGCCTGTCCCAAACCTGCCCGCCGTCGGGAAGAAGCCACTAGACCTCTGCAGGCTGTACCTGGCTGTCCGCGACATTGGAGGACTGGCCATGGTGAGGCAGCACTGATCCTCTCTCTGTCTCTGTTTCCTCTTCTTCCTCCTTCAGGGTTCAGCTAATGCCTCATTCATTAGGTCGTGGAGATCGATCGGTAAATAAATTTGGTTGTGCGTTCCTGCCATCTGCTTGTCTCTGAATCCGTGTTCCCGTTGTGGCTCTCAGGTGAATAAGAATAAGAAGTGGAGGGAGCTGTCATCCCTGCTAAACGTGGGGACGTCCAGCAGCTCAGCCAGCTCGCTGAAGAAGCAGTACATCCAGTACCTGTTCGCCTATGAGTGCAAGATGGAGCGTGGCGAGGAGCCACCACCTGAGGCCGCAGGGCCCGCCGGAGACGCCAAGAAACCTCCGTCACTCCAGGCCAAGATCCAGCCGCCCTCCCCGGGTAAGACAGATCTTCTGACACCGGAGAGGTTCACACTCAGCTTTGTGTCTGTTTCCAGCTGAAAGTGTAAAAATCAGAAACGAGAGTGAGACTGTGAGAAAGGAGGTGTTACTGATGCTGCTGTAGGGATCACACACACACACACACACACAGCCAATTATGTAACACACACTGCGAGCTGTCAGGCAGGCTGGAGGAGAGTGTGAATGTAAACATCAGTGACCTCATACTGACCTAATTTCCCACGATGCCGGTCTTGCTCTCTCTTCACTGCAGAGTTGTCTCTTTGTCTTTGTCCTCTCAGTTTCCTTCTTTATACTTGGTTTCACAGACACACCAACACCAAAGAAACACTGTAGACTGATGAGAGCGCTCTGAAAACATTTCGAACATCTTAAATTTAACTGTCAAATCACAGAATGATAAATAAATGATATTAGAGTAAGTGAATATTTTGCAGTTAAAATGTGATTCATTCCTCTCCTGTCGTTTGCTGGGGAAGTTTGCCTGGGACCCGAGCCCCATGGCTCGAAAGCAGTTTGCTCACTCTGTGTCTGTCATCCATTTTCCGTTTTGCTGGTGACAGCTACGTCTGCTCATCGATCAAGGGTATTCCCAACTCTGGAGTCGCCGCCCTGCCCAGCAGGTCCACAGGTTTAATTCAAGTACCGCTGCAGTCAGCTGTAGATTCTGCAGATAAACCGTCATCAATTCGGTTCGCCCTGCTAAACGTTCACTCTATAGCGAACAAATCATTTATTCTAAATGATCTTTTTATTAAAGAGTCTCTAGATTTTATGTGTCTGACTGAGACGTGGCAGCAAAATAAGGATTACGTCCACTTGAATGAAATCTGCCCGTCTGGCTGTTCTGTCATTGGAACTCCGCGTCGTTTAGGACGTGGTGGAGGACTTGCTGCTGTTTACCAGGACAGACTCATATGCAAACTGATGACCTCGGACTTCTTTTCTTCATTTGAGTCACAGATGATGAAGGTCGGTTCTCTGAAAACCTTTCACTGTATTTTAATCTATCGACCTCCTGGACCTGCTGGGGTCTTTCTAACTGAATTTAACGACCTTCTGACATCAATCATTAAACTGGAGAAGGTTGTAATATTGGGAGACTTAAACCTTCATATTGATGACGCTTCCTGTAACACTGCTGCTGAGCTCATCACTGTCACTGAGTCTTTTAACTTTAAGCAGCATGTTTCTGGCCCCACACATACAAAGGGCCACACTCTTGATCTTGTTTTCTCCCTGGGTTTAAATATACATGATGTATGTGTGGAAGATGTCCATGTGAGTGACCATAGTTGTATATTCTTTAATTTGTCATTTTACGTGGATCCTTCACCTCCTAAATTGATGATCCAAAGGCGAATTATAAACCAGGATGCTGCTAGAAGGTTTTCTGCCATGTTTGTCCCTCTCATGGCTCAAAATGATATGGATTCACTTATTTTGTCTTTTAACAATCAATGTAAATCGATTTTAGATACGGTGGCACCTCTGAAACTAAATGTCCATTCTTCAAATTTCTGTCCTTGGATAAATGAAAATATTCGAAATTTTAGGAGATATTGTCGCAAATTAGAACGTTTATGGAAGGCTTCCAAGCTTGAGGTCCATAGGGTACATCTCAACGAATCAATTTTCTCACTTAACGACATGATAAAAAATGCCAGAACGGAATATTTTGCTAATCTAAAAGCTTCAAAAAAGAAAAATCACAGAGTATTGTTTGATATAATTAAAAACATTGTCTCTCCTGATATTCCTCATGTACCAGTCTATACTAAATCTGATTGTAATGACTTTTTAAACTATTTTGTTAATAAGGTCGCTGCTGTCAGGTCTAATATTTCTCCATCATCCTCTCAGTATCACACTGACATGTTGCTTACCTCTGATACCTGGTCCTCTTTTACTCCTGTTACCTTACAGGACATCAGTGCTCTGCTTGGTCGAATGAAACTGACT